GAAGGACTTTAGAAACAGGCGGATGTGCTCTACTTTCACAGTTCTAGTGAGAACACGGGCAGCAGAGTTTTGGATCAGTTGCAGCTGTCTGATGGACTTTTAAGGCAAATCTATGCTGACACTTTTGCAGCCATCAATTCTTCTAGAGATAAATGTGTGAATGAGTTTTTCTAGATTGAAAATCTGTCCTTTACTCCTGGAAATGTTCTTTTGGTGATAAAAGGCTGTCTTAGTACCTGCCTTTATGCGCCTCTGAAGGTTCAGGTCTGAGTCAATAGAGACACCAAGATTTTGTACATAATCAGTGGTTTCTAGCTTTAGTAGCTGAAGCTGTGAGCTAACTCTGGCTCTCTCCTCCTTTGGTCTAAAAATTGTTACCTCAGTTTTGTTTTTATTCAGTTGTAGAAAGTTATGTTGCATCCACATATTAATCTAAGCATCTAGCCAACCCTCTGATGGGTTCATAGTCACCTGGTGAAATTGTGATGTAAAGCTGTGTGTCGTCTGCATAGTTATGTAACTGATCTTGTTGTCTGCTATAATCTGAGCTAAAGGGAGTATGTAGAAGTTGAATAGGAAGGGCCCCAGAATGGTGCCTTGAGGAACCTCTCATGTGATTTTTCTGGTCTCTGGTTTAAAGTTCCCTACTGAAACATAAAAGTCCTTAAGCCTGATTTATATTCAGAAACCAGTTCGTCTGCGTATGTGTGGCATTGAACACCAATGTGCCCCCGCACCTTCCGCAGACACTCTGGTGCACCTCTCCAAAATTGTAGGTGACCGCAGACAGTGCTGCAGACAGGAGGCCTCTGATTGGTCAAATCTACATCTGCTCTGCATTTCCTGTTTGGTACCTTACCGGCTTGTTTTGTTTGTATGACCGCCATTGTGGAAAACGACTCGTGAAGTTGGACAAGATAAAAGAGCGAGGTGTGCGAGAATGCCGGGACCCTTTTTCCACCTGGATCCCCGTTCTTTTTCACCCTCCAACGTCACACAAACTTGCCTCCACTTCCTCACCGCCTCAGCCATATCTAGACCAACAGCTAGTTCATGATCCTCCCTCTTGCGTTGTGGTGTGGAATAACATAGTGCAGACCACGCTTCAAATTTGGGCATAAATCAAAAATATCTGCATCAAGCTTACTGTGACACACTGCTGTGGGGAGTATAGCCAGTCCTTTATCCTCACGGCAGGATTTAAACCATTCCTGTGCTGTACCAGAAAGGCTGACCTAGATTTTCAGACGCTCTAATAAAATTGAGTGATCAACAGCTTCGAACACTGCAGTAAGGTCCATCAATACCAGCACAGTGGTTCTTTTAAAGTTAGAATTTATACGAATGTCATTGAACACCTTAATCAGGGCAGGCGCTTGACTGTGGTTGTCATGGAAACCTGACTGGAAGACATCACATCTGCTTAACATTGTTATGAAGGCATTTAACTCTTGAAAGTCAACTTTTTCAACTTACTGGTGAAGTTGAAAGGTTTGAGACGGGTCTGTAGTTCTGAAGGACCAATTGTCCAAGCTTCTCTTTTTCAACAATGTATTGATAATTGCTGTTTTTAAGGCTCGTTGGAAAATACTAGAGATGAGGAACGTGTTCATGATTTGAATCAAATCAGACTCTGAAATAGGCAAAACCTGTTCTGCAGTGTTAAGCAGACAAATCTTTAATATTTCTGACTGCCTCTTAGCAACATTTTTCAGTGCTCCAGTGTGAATGATTAAGTTCTTCAAGGTGAGGTTTAATCTGATCTTCGTGATCCTCTTTGAGATTTCGGAAAAAGAATGGGACAGCCAACATTCAACAAATTTTTGCTCCAGTTGAAAGACATGGAAGACATGTTTCTCTCTGGAGTCTTGGTTTTGTTAAATAAATGTGGTGTTTGTTCTGTCTGATGGCTTTTGAGATCTTAAATTTTTTTGTCTTTGGCTTTTCTCCAAGCGTTACCCAGCAGTGAATGCCAGTCTGGTTATTGCCATTAAAAGCAGCACCTTCTTTCTAATTTCTGTTGGTTATTTGTCATTCTGATGAGTTGCTTTTTAAAACAACTAGTGGGGTTATCTCAGAGTTTTGAGACTCTGGCAGGGCCGTATCAATTCCATGACCAGCATTCACTTCCACATTGACTTACAGTCAGTTAATCTTCATTTCCAAGACAGCCATCCACTGTAGAAACTTGTCAATCTCCTGTGGGGTGAAGGGAGGCATTTTGCGCTTACATGTCCTTGAGAATCTGTCAGAGTTCTGCCCTCTGTTTAAGTTTATTTTTATTTTCTTTGTGTTCTGTGTCTTTGTAGTTGATTTCTACCAGTGCTGAGTTCTTTAGTTATCCTCTGTTGCCCCCTTGTGCTTGTTTACTTTCCCCTGTGCTTCTTTCAAGTTGGTCTTGCCCACACCTGCTCCCAATCTGCAGATTAGCATCTTGGTTCAGTCTTCCAATACATACACCACCTCTGCCACCACTCAGTGCTGGTTTGTTGTTTTGTTGCTTCATCGTCCCTGGTTCCCCACATGAGTTTTCCCGGATGTTTTGGTTTTTGGTTCTTTGGATTTTTGGATTTTTTATCTCGGTTTCCTCATTAAATTAGCAAGACTCACCTCAGCCTCCTGGTCTCTGGTCTTCACCCAACTGTCTCCACTCATCTGTGACAGAATCCATGAAAAAATAGTCCTGTCTAACTTCTGTCACTTTGGCCAAGAGATGAGAAGGTTAAAAATGAAGAATAATTTAAGCAAGCGAGGAACGAGGGAGAAATCCATCTGAGCAGGCAGAGAAGCAAAAGTTCTCTGCCTTCAGTGCAACACATGAGAACAGATTAACCAAACATTAACAGCTGATGGTAGTGGGTTTTGCAATAAGGCACTAACATGATAGTCAGTGTTAGTCGGTTAGTAACCTGCTGTATTAACATGAGAGAACATTCATTGCTGCTTCATTGCAATTACCTCTGGAGTTGTTCAAAAACTCAACCATTTTTTAAACTTATTAGATGCTGTGACTGAACAGCATGTGAAGCAACACTGAAAAAAATAAGGCAAATGCTTTTGGCATTTACTTAATCATATTTAGTTACTTTAACACAATTTTTATGTCATACTCTGCTAACAGTAAACAATTTGAATAGAATGATTCTATTGGGTATTTAGTGCTGGTCCTTAAGGTCTCTGAATAGGGTGTGTAACATTGGTTGGGCTGAAAATGGCATATTTGCTGTTCTTTGAGCCCTAATGCAAGCCCCAGTGTCACAGTCTTGGTTTTGTTATGTTTATTTAGAGTATTCAGTCTTACTTTGCTCCTTGTTTTAGTGTCTAATTATTATTTTGTTGTTTTCTTTTTAGTTCCTGTCCTCCAAGTTTTCCATTTGTTGTCCTCTGCTGCCCTCTTGTGTCCTCTATCCCTAGCTCTGTTCTCTGCTCTGTCCTCCCTTGCTGTTTTCTCTGTCCTGCCAGCACCTGTTGCCAATTTCCTCGTCAGCTCTCTCTTTGTCTCTGTCCCCTTTAAAAGCCCTCCCTCTTCAGTTCTTGTTTGCTGGATCCTCGTCTTACATCTCATCAAACCTCTGGTCAGTTCTCTGTCGTCCTTCCTTGTCTCTTCCTGGTTCTTAGTTTTTGCTTTTTCCCTGATGTCTCCTAGATTCTGGTTCTTAAGATATTTTTGTTGGATTTTTGACTCCTGCCTCAAAGCCTGTTTACCTATTAAATGACTTAATTCATCTCAACCAACTCGTCTCTGCATTTGGGTCCTCTAACCAACACCACCAAATCGTGACACCCAGACTGAAACTCTCTGCCCCGGGGTTCCCGTACCAGCCACACAGCCCATTTTATGGTGGAAGTTTAGAATCACAGAGATTTGCAGAAAAAGAAGGTGTCGATGGTGTTTGATCTTCTCTGTCCGTCCATTTCACCCACTGAACTATTGTAATTCAACTATGACAATGAAAACTCTGTTTTCCATTCTATGACCCCTTTAAGTAAATGCCAAAAGCTGTTGCTTTATTTTTTTTCATCGTAAATACACCTTTATTTCCAATATGTTTAGCAGTAAAATTTGAGCTGAGACAAGCAAAAGAACAAAAAGAAGAATTAGGTGAAAATGTCAATGAATCAAGAAACTGATGAATGGCCAACACATAAATCTATAGATCGATCCAAAATAGAACTTCATATTTGCCTAAGATTTTGTCTGCTCTCTTCTATAAACTGTCTGGTCATGAGATTGATGCATTCTGAACATTTCAGTAGAAAAATATCCTAAACGTAAGAAATTTATTTCAGAAAACGTTTATATTTGAAAAGCTCTTAAAAACTTGAATCTATCAGTCTTTTTATGAATATCTTTTTGTCACACAGATCAGTATAATGGAATTTAAGAAACAGACATATCTTTAAAACTAAAATATATCTTAATTAGAATATTCATAACTTTATTTGAAAACAAACATTACAGAATATTTATGGAGAGAGTTGGACAAAAAGAGTTTAAGTGAATTAATAAGAGGGAAAGAAAATTATAATTCCAAAATCTGATGTTCTCTAAAATAATCTGCCTGTTTTAACTTTAATTTAAAAAGTAGAAGTTTATATATCAATATATCTTTTTATATACTTCTAGATGTGGAAATAACAGAATGGAGGCATTCACTTGAACAAAGATCACCTATGTCTTGGTTTTCTTTTTCCCCAGGTTCATCATCAGAGGAAGAACAAAGAAAGAAAATCTCATTTTAACCACCGGGTTTCACTCATTGGTTTTTGAAAGAAAGCAAGAATGGCTAAAAATAAAGGCAAACCAAAATGTGTTAATAGGTTTTCCTGGTTCTGTTGCTCCCAAACAGGAGCACAAGAAGACACTTTTATTGAAACACATAGTAAGGATCCATCCATCCATCATCTTGTCCCAATTGAGGACACGAAGGAAGGTGACTATCGCCAGCTGTCAATAGCCAGGGGTACATCCTGGACAGGTCGCCAGTCCATCGCAGCAGATAGTGAAGAAGATTACGATAATTCATCTTACGAGCTGCTTGCACCTGATCTTGGATCTGATTATCTATTTTCTTATGGGTCAGACAGTGAACCAGATGTCAACCGAACTCTTCTACGGAAAGAAGTGACCTGTTACATGTCTAATATAAATGAACCTCAATATTATATACTTCATGAAACGGTGGAAAACTTCACATTGTGTGAGAGGGAAAAAATCCCCTCCTGTTTGTCTCATAGCTGTCCTTCATTGAGTCAGGAACCTCCTGCAGACATCAGCAACTTCCCCCGATCTCCAAGTTTACCCACCATGAAGCTCCAAGGCAGCTTTAAGGAGTTTACTCCAGATTTCACTGATGATGAAGGAGATGGAATCTACTGGTTCCGGTGTTCCAGTCCAGGCCTGTACCAGTGCAGAGAGAGCGGCCTGGTGTTTGACATGAGGGGAGAAGGAGACGTGTCCTACAGGATTGTTCCTTGGGACAGAAGATTACTGAGCCAACATGGCAAGAAGCCTGCAGGACCTCTGTTTGACATCAGCTGTCAGCAGCAGTCTGTGGCTCAGCTTCATCTCCCTCACTGTGAGATCCGCTCCACAGGCGGATGTCACTTCCTGTCAGTCGCTCACATGCATGATGAAGGAATCGATTTTATCAGACCTGTGAAGATCACAGAAACTCATGTTGTCATCAACATCACAGGGTTTTCTCCTTTTGGTAACATCAAGGATGAAGATTCTCCTCCGGACCTGGTCCAAGCTTTGGTTCTGCTGTTCCACAAGCATCTAGATCCTGAGTCTGATCACCTGATTAATGTTCTGATGCTGCCCAAAAACATTGTTCTTGAAAAGGTGTTACGTTTTAGGAAGAAATTAGATGAGAATGAAGTATTTCTAGAGACGCCTCCACACTGTAAACTGCAGCCGAAGCAACTCTATACTCTGTCCACCTGTCCTGGAGAGGAACTGGTTCTTGTTCAGCCCACAGAAGGTGAGTTTGATCCAGAATCCTATGACAACTACTTCCCAACATTCCAGGTGGTTTATAAGGAAATGAGGAGCCGCATCAAACTGTTTCTGAGGGACAGCAGCTCCAGCAGCGTCTGGGAGAGATGGGTTTGTTTTTCTACTGCCAGAGTGAGAAGATCCTATGGACCGACCCGACAGAACCTCAGTCCAAAGGAGCTACTGGAGGAGATAAGGAGCAGCTTTATTGACAGGATATCAGAATCTGTTCTGAAGAAGCTGCAGGACAAAATGCTGGAGAAAAAGGTACTCAACGATTCTGAGAGGGAAGATGTAGAGGCAGGAAGGACCAAAAGAGACAAAGCTCGAGTTTTAGTCGACACCGTGAGGAATAAAGGTGACGCTGCAAGTTCAGAGATGATCCGCTCTCTCTGTGTGCTCGACCCGTACCTCTCTGGAGATCTGAAGCTAATGTGAGGAAAAGATGCTGACAGACTCTATTAGCCAGAATGATTAGAAAGAGATTACACTGTCATTGCTATAAATCAAATGCATCAGATTTTATTTTAAATATGTAGTCATGTTAGACCAGCTAGTTGTTTTGATTGTTCTGCAAATTTATTGGGCAAGTTTTACAGATTTTTATTTTTAAATTGCGAATTTCTCAACAGATTATAGAAAAATTTTAATAATTAAATGATCAAATATAGAGCAACTGTAAATAACCATAATTCTGTGCTTTTAAAACCAAAATAATTAATAAGATTGAAATAAAGGAAGAGTTGGATAACTTTAATAAAACATCTAATGTGATCTTTTAAACTTCCCCTTTACTTTAACTGAAAACATGATGTAAAAGCTCAAGTTAAACAGCTCTGATATTAAACAGGGAATTTTGGGACAATGGTCACATCACTAAAACAGCGTTTTGTGATAATCACAATTCCATGTTAAGACATTTAAATGTGACTGTATTACACAATGGTACATTACAGATATAAACATCCTAGAGAGACACTGTTAGAATCTGATTTTTAGAAACACTGCACAAAAAGACACATTTGGTTCTCACTGTCTGACATTCATTTAGATTCCACTTTTCCTGTTTCAGATTGATTAGGATCACCTACATTATTTTTATTTCATAATCACAGAATATAGAATAAAAAAACGTTTCAGAGTATCTGCAATTGCTATTTAAGGTAGCTTACATGCAATTTTTCAGTAGATGGCTGAACTTCCACAGCAGCAAAGACGTTGCTATGGTCTGCCATTGTGGTCCCTCTCAGCTATGGTAGAGAAATGGTGAATGAAGGTCAATTTTAAAATGCAAGGAATTGTGGGGATTCTTGGTAAATATGAGCACTGGTGTTTAGATAAGTCAAAAACCTAGTTCTGACAGTTCAAAAAGCCCTTAACCTTGTATTATTTATGTGCATCACTGCGATAAAAAATTGAAAAAGACATGTCGTGGGAAAATAATCTATCTCCTTTTAATCCCATACCAAGATACAGGGAGTTGTTTATCCATTATAAATAGTTTTCATTACATCTAGACTTTGTTTCCAAGTTTGAAGAGTTTTGCTTCCCATCCAAGACAAGAACTTCCCTCCAGACTAGACTGAGCTGTAAATCTACACCTTATGGACCAAGAACGTTCTTTTGATATCCAGAAGGTTCACTTTTAGGACCAAGAAGACAGGTGGTTTGAAAGGGGTGTGAAGGAAGCCATTTATTTTAAAGCCACACTAGTAGAAGGCAAGACATTTAAAACATTTGATAAAATCAAAAGAGAATTTGAATTTTTCAGATGCCTACAGCTAAGACACTTCTACATACATCATTGTCCGACCTCACAAATATACTTTTAGAGAAATGGTAAATATTCACCATAAAAAATGCTCTTAACCCACTAGACAGCCTTCCCAAAATTGTTAGAGCTTCAAACGATGGCTCACATAATTTTGAACTAGTTTCTTTCTTCCCTTACTGTGTTTTCAAAGGTGGAAAGCATCGATTGTCATTGTCTGTGTTCCAGGGGGTAGAAGGAGTATTGTATGAATAATTTTAACATGTGTTCATAGTCATTATATTAAGTTCCTGCCTTTCAGTTTTTAGGTGGGTAAGAAACACATTCATATTTCAAATCTTCATTATTGTCATTATTTTCTGTACTGATTGGGTTAGATCCAGAGACGACATTGACATGAAGTAATCATGGTGAAAATCATGGCAGCTGAAAGGTAATAGCAGTAAGAGCCAAGACTCCTTATAGATGTCAGACAATAGCTTTATTTTTAACACATTTATACCTTTCTATTCTTTGTGGAGGGAAAAAAAATGTTTGTGGTGTTTTTTTCTTCTTTCAATTACTGTGTCCAGAGAGATTAAGGAGAGGAAAAGCAAGAAGAACTCTAGCAGCTTTCTCCTCGGCAGACGGACGCTCACACCGAGTCGGGTTCTGCTGGTTGTTTTTTACTGCTAAAAGGGAGTTTTTCCTCTCCACTGTTGCTACACGCATTCTTAGTGTGAGGGATTGTCTTTGAGTCGATGGCTCTGTTCGAAAACCTAGGACGCATCCTTAGAAGACCGGATT